CATTGTGTGCTACAGTGTAACTATATGCAATGTACCGTTGTGTACGTATGTTTTTTGTGAGCAACTCTCAGATACTCTTTTATGTCATTATATGAACGTTCTTTTTCGATTAGGTCTCTCCATGCTTTACCTTGAATTCCTGTTTTCTGGGGGTTTATATTCATCTTAATCCAACAACATATATACATTTGTAATCGCAATTAGTGCAGAGTATGGAAAAGCACAGAGATGAGGTCAGAATCACAGGCGACTGGTTTTCAGAAACTTATAGTCAAAATGTACTGGATGATCACAAATTAAAACAAAACTAACCGGCAAGTCTATAGGAACTTCACATGTTTCATGATTTTATTTTGTTTTGTGATTTCGTCAAAAATGATAACACTTACAGCCTCTCTACTACCGCTCAAAACGGCACGTCAGACGCTGGCAAACGCCGTGGCCGAGTTCGTCAGGCCAGACCTTGGCCTCATCTACCCACCACCTGCACGATGCATACATCTGCAGCTGAAGCGACTGGATCGAAAAGTAGGAGGCTTACACGTCCTCTGTGAAACAGCACGATTTCTGACCTCTGGTCAACGCTTTAGATCATCTCTTACCTTCGAAAATCCATCGACTTTGTTAGCAGCATCGCATCGCTACTGCTTCTTTTACTATGTTTCGTCGGTGCTGCCGCGTTTATTGGAGTTCAGGTAATTTTCCTCATATCGGTTCGAGAACTTGTTCGAGAACATGATATAAATAATGACCGATAAAGCATCACAAATCATTCAACAGGTTTCAGAAATAATACAGAGCACCAGTGGTGTTTCAGGAAGTAGTTTAGATTTGCACGTTTTAGGTGACGGGTACCAGTTCCCGAGTGACATAAATTTTTCTTATGGATTAATAACCCTTTTGGAAAGAAGTTAACTTATGAAGTTATGATTCGCATAATCAGCTTACCCATTGGGAAAAAAGTCAATGATATGCGAACAGTAGGTCAACATGCAGCGATGACGTGGACATAGCAGAGACCAAGGGTTGCCATGCTATTTAAGGCACTTGCCTGAACGCATGTTTGTGCCCTAGCCCATTTTTTCATTATTCATTTTCTTGTTTCTTCTTGTTCTTGTTAACATACACCTTTTCGTGCCTGCAGGTTTCGAATAGCTTTCAGGCATGGGGCTTTGATGTAGACTACATATCTATTTTTAAAGAAACTTACAAACACGCCAGGGTTAATGTTAAGGGCCACAATGACAAGGTGTCCCATGAATATTTCTGGGAGGATGGGATAATGGAGAATTGCTGACGGTTGCACCTGAAAATCCTACTGTATAAAAAATAATTCGCTTGTACTATAAGACAAATATTAATTTATGGTTAAATTGCACGAAGGATATGCTCGCTCGTTTGGCGAATTACCTTGTAGAATAAATTTAGTAATGGTAAATATTATTTGGAATATTATTGAATGGTAAAAATTATTTTTTAACATTGTACCCGACCGTCAGCATCACCTCGGTTGTCTTAGCATGTTTCAATTCTTTGCAAAACTTGGGAAAAATTTCAGGTATGATGGTTTTCCTCCTGTTACAGTCTCAAAACGTCATGAGCGGAATTCAGAAGATAAAACAATATTCATATCTTCAAGTATCACGTTTGTGAAATCACGGGACAAACGTCTCAGCTGTTAGCAGTTGCAAGAATTCCTTGGCACCAGAATATCACATATCGAAAACTGAAAATGTCATGTCAAGACTC